ATTAAAATAATAAAAAATAAATTCTTGTTGTTGTAGGCAGCTACTGTTGGAAACCTCTCAATATTTTTTGCTGTAGATAGAAAGCATCGTATGAGACTCACTAAAACGGGCTTTAAAGAATGAATTATGAGAAACATTCTAGCTGATGATCTGGCAATGATCAGTGGGTGAAATGTCACTGATAGGAGGAGTGTCCAACATAAACATAAGAATCCTTTTTAAATTCTTGAAAAAGGTAAAAATCTCAAATATGTAATTCTTAAGTTTATAACTGAAGTAGTTCTTAATTTATTCTCAATCCATTCTCAGTTCGTTCTAAACTTTTTCTCAAGTTCTCAAATTGTACACCAAGGAGTACTTTAACTCAAACAATAGTTCGTTGTCGTTAGCGTTGTATACACGATGTTTAGAAATACCCCCAAAAGGAAAGAAGGGAAGGAAGGGAATGGGAAAAAGAGACAATAAACGTGATACAGAAAAAGTAACTTTAAAAACTAATGTTAGGATCTACACAGAAGGATTAGAACCTACACAGACGGGTTAGGGCCTATACAGACAGGTGGATAAAGGAATCGAAGCCGGTTCGATATTGGCTATCCGATTCGATCTCAGTATTTCAGAAGAAATATTCGCCATCCTAAGAACATGTTCTCTTGTTGGTAGCATGGACTTTCACAAAGAGGAAGTCAATATTTTTCCTAACAGTCAGGAAGATATTAAAACTATGTCGGCAGTTTGCATTTTGTCTAGAATAGTACAAGAACGTAAGCGATGCACTAAGTGTTAGGACCAAGGTAACTCTAGTTTGGGTTTCAGGGCATACCATTATAGTAGAGATTGAGCGCGTAGATGAACTTGGTAGACTAGGCGCATACCTTACAAAAACTTCTGTTTCAATCTCTGCCCCTGCCAGTTATAGCTGTACGTTGGTTTGTAATCATTTTCTGCGACAGACAATTTGGAAGTGGGCTCATACTTCTTCTGTATGACTTTCTTCTATATTAACCAGAAGTATCTAGGTTAATATATTTTTTAATAGGGCACTGGACTATAAGACAGCATGAAGCCAGGCTCAGCATACCCTACAAAATCCTCTGTAATACCTGTCTATCGGCGCTTGTAAGAAAGACGCCAGAACACCTATTGTGTTTATGTTCAGACTTATATAAAACCATGCTTAAACGAGCTCTTCAACACACCAAATTCTCGCATTTATCAATGTTTCCGGCTGCTTCTAGCAACACCATTTTCCTACCCATGAAGAAGAAATTGTGGAATCAAAACGGCATTTTAGCTAATTGAGGAGGACTCGAGGCTTCCTCCAACTCCAACTCCACCTAATCTAATCTAACTAATGTTAGTTATTAATTTAAAAGATATTTGAGAATGCGTTATCTCACAACTTAACAACCTACTTCATTTAATCACCATTTTTCTTCAAATATAGTTTAATTAGTCAGATAGATTTTAACGTTAAAACGTTAACTAAGTTTAAACCATTCAAGAATAAATAAGACCGATAAGAAAAGCTGTCATAAGGAGAGGACAAATAGTACTTTAAAGTGATACAACACTGAAAGTCATGAGCTGTCGTATGGAAAGAACTAATAGTACTTTAGACTAATACAATGTATACAATGTATCTTTAAACACATTCTTCTCATTATGGATGAAATATTTTTTTTTTTTTTTTGAGAAATGTTATGAAAATTGTGTTATATAAAGATTATTTAAACAAACACAAAAGTCATTTCAAACCGTAGAAGACAATTATCAAACATAAATTAATTTTATGTGTTTTGGCTAAATCCTGGTCCAATTAATTTTCTTACCTGTTGCTCATGAAGTGAAGAGGATGTAGGAAGTTGATTTTTGTATTTTTCCTTTTTATTTTGACTGTTCCTTCAACGCCCATTGCTTACTGCTATCAGAAGGCCAAAATAGCAGGATGCTATCTTGTTAATGGCTCAAAACCGCGTTAATATTTTCTTTTTGTAAATAGATTTTTTTTTTTCTGAATTCTTTTATCCAAATATTTACCGCCATTAAAAAGATTGATGCTCCGAAAAAATTAATTTTTTTACTACGCAAATATTTTTTTACGGTCATATATATTATTAGATTGACCTAAAATAGATAGAAATACTTTTTGGACTTACTTTAAATTTTAAGTACAAAAAATTTGTATTTAGCATTTAATATGAAATTTCAACTAATTTAGATTCTAGTGTATTCTATATTTGATTGTGCAATATTATCCATTTTATAGCCACAAAAGAAAACTTAGACTGGATTTTAATTTAAGCTGTCAAAAATATAAATTTTGCATTGAAAGCAACAACAATTGACAGCTAAAATTACAAACAAAACTTTCGTGTGAATCCAGTATTAGACAAACTTTTGATTGAGATTTTGAACTAATCCTTATTTCAATATATTGTTTGGAACTTATCATAAGCATTCTTTTAATGTACTCTATTAGACATCTTACAGTACTAGATCCCTTTAAGGTAATTTTCGATGCTTTGTTGGCACATAGCAATGTCAATAACACTTCTGTTAGCTGTGAATAGCTTCGTTATAAAGTCGCGGATGTTTTCTTTCATTTTTTGAAGACATCGATTTTAAGGATTATGCGCATTAACATAATCCTTTGCCTAGCCTCATAAAAAGATTTCAGTGGTGAGAAATTATATGGTCTTGCTGGCTATATAATTTAACAAAATTACACGTCCAAAAAATTTTCACTCAATGAAGTCAAATTAACACGTGTTGAGAAAAAAATGTCTTCCTCATCCATTTCCTCAATTTCACATAAAAAACCAATTGCTAATCACGTGGTTATAGCAATGAAAATTGACAATTTGTGTCATACCTCAGTCATTTTCAAAAAAGTAAGGGTCTAACTTATCTATAGATCAAATTCCAGATCATACAGTAAGGCTTTGTAGATGCTATAGGCATTCGACAGTTACTCTTAGCGTTTTCACTGCCTTAATTAAAATAATTTGGTATTACTATTATATTATTCGTACTAATAACTTCAATGTATTTTGCGTCAAAACTTACGGATTATTCAATAAAAAAAATAATAATTAATCATTTTTTAAATCTTTATTGATTTCTGAAATATTCTAGATTATGATTTTACACACTTTTGCATACGTTCGAACAAACAAAGGTTTTGACAACGAAAATCGTCCACACGTACAATGGATGACCTATTAGTTGTATGTTCTGTGTGTTCAAAAAGTCACTTGTTTGAACCAATGTGGGAGAATTGGCATTCTCACAATTCATTACTATCATTATTTGGCGATTGCCTTTCCTCATTTCTCCGACTATTTCTAGCAAACATATTGTAATGTATCATTTAAAATTGGCCATTCTACGTTCCTTTAATAGTACTGTTGCTACATGATCAAGTTTTCCGAATAAGCAATTACCGCGAATAACTTTTATTTAATTTTATTTATCATATCATATAGTCATACAATCGACTATTGTTTATTTTCTGTATTTATCCATTTTAGATTTAAGATTAGTGAACGATCACATCTTCTGCATGCCATAATATTTTTTGAATATATTTTTGAACTTTCATCAAATCATGTGGGATTCAAGTCAATTAATCTCACAGACTTGATCTTTAGCTTAGTTGTGATACTAGGAAATTATGGATTACACTAAATTACAAATCTAATATTACCCTTTTTTTCTATATATTTTGATCCACTAAACTCGAAAATCTTATTAATAAATTTTTTATGGATAAGTTTTCGAGATATAAGGCATAGGACTTTGAAATTTCTTTTTGTTTTTTTCTGACAAAAAACAAGAGATGGTGCAACATGTAAACAACTGATTAAATTTAACAAGATATCAAATTAAAGCTAATTTAAGTTCTGATAATCGCTTATAATCTATCATCTCTTCTTCATTCTTTTATCTCCTTGTGCAGCATAGGACCTCCTGAGATTTTTGCTAGAGATTCGATTATTCATGGTACATATGGTAAACATAGATTTGCTAAAAATGGAATAATTTATAGATATCTTTTGATTTCAAACTCAGAACATAATTTTTCGTTATCCAAATATACAGACAGATATGAGTAATTCATTCATTTATTCTATTTAAGAATATGGGTAACTGTTTATATGTATAGTCTTTGTTGTTTGCTGCTATAACATACTTTCTTAAGTGTCGGTACACACAACTAGTCATATAGAAATCTTGTTTATATAGCCTTTATTGTTTTCTAAATCAGTATTCCTCAACAATCAGGCCGCGCTATTTGAAAGAAGAGCTATTAGTTGTAATTCAGACAGACAGTATATTAGTATATTGCTAATATAATCTCTGCTATATCTTAAACTAGTGTTTCTCAAAATATTGTATTTGTATTAGTGAGTACTTTCCAACTTATCTTAAAAACTAAGAGAGTAGTAGTTTACAGTAATGTAGATAAACAGATAGACGGAATATATTGCTCATATAACCTTGTTAGTCTGTAGACTATGGTTTCTTAATCATATCCTAGCCTCCACAATAAGTAACATTAATCAATGGAATATTGTATTTTTGTCTTCAATGTTATTATTTATTAGAAAAATATTGGTATCCGTCCCTGTGAAATTAAAAATAAATTAATTTACTTACTGATCCTTATTGAACACATTAATTATTTTCCAGTTCGCAGTTGAGAAACAATGTCCTGAATTACATTTTAGACAATAAGTTAAAAGTATGAGGGGAAAGACGTGGATAAAAAATATACGATTAAGATTGTCATAATTTTTTTTCTTACAATGAAAGCCAATGTATAATTTATATATTTTTTAAAAATAATTTTATTTAAATTGTAAATATTAACAGATCTTTTTTATAAAAATAAAGGGGTAATATTAAGTAGTACAGAGTTAATATGTTCACTGTAATTACAAAAAAAAAAAGTTTAACAATTCAAAAACAGCTTAATTAAAGAGGCTAAGAACAATCTAGAAATCCCGCGTAAGCAGTTTCATGAGATCGCCTATATACGCTTGAGCCATTTGCAATGTTTCGTATTTGGAAAGTCGTCGATCGTGTCCCAAAGAAGGGATGACATCACGTAGCTTATCAAATGCATCGTTGAGACTATTCATTCTTCGCCGTTCTCGAGCGTTTGCAGCTAAGCGTCGTTTTTTAAGCATGTCTTGGGTTGCGCAAGTTTCACTGAATTTAGCACAGCTCATTGGTAGGGACCGCTTCTGCGCACATTGCTGATATGGCCGTTGATCTGTTGTCAGAAATTTATAATCAAATTTTTTAAATTTATTTTTCGCTGCTCTCTCCTGTACCCCCAAACTTTTGCTATCGTTACTGCTGCTAAAGTCAACGTGCTGACTGTGGTGAGTATGAAGAAAGTTATCTACTTCATAAACTTCCCGTGTTTCATAGAAATTTTCTAAAACATTTGTATTTGAGGTCTGATCCATATTTAATTCAAAATTGTATAGCTCGAAATCCATTTGATAGCTTTGAGAATCATCACTGATTGTGCTGGAGTAACTGCCGAAACTATTATTTAAATTATTATGTCTACTATAAAAAATCTCGGTAAAGTCTGTCGAAATCATTATAGTGCTTTTTGCTTTAAGTACGTGGATCGTTAAAAAAAATTTTGTATGCAATACTTCTAATTTCACAAATGATATGTTAACTCATTGAAGGATCCGTGTGCACTGCGAATATGTTTCGAGTAGTTGGCTTTATTTAAACCTTTTCAAACAACGTTGATTGGTTGATCCTTTGGTTGGCCAACTCAATCTTAACGAAAACATTTCATATTCACTTTCAATGCCATTTTTCTGAAAACTGATTCGTTACTCAGTTTAAGTCTGGCTTATTCCTTCTCTTTCTTAACGTACCTGCGTTTTTTTCAGACATATCCTGCTTGCGCCTTAAACATTTCTTTGAAGACAATTCACACAGCTTCGTGTGTTCTTGGTTTGGTTTTTTCTTTTTTTTTTTTGTTTTGCGGCTTAAAAGGCCTACATTTTAGCTTGTGGTCAAAACGTTTAATTTTTCATCCTATTTACCATCTGACTTTTTGATACTGTTGTTGTTTTTGTTGCGACTGGTACTGTTAGTTTTACACCAATATTTATTTATTTGTGCCCTACATTTTCTTATGCATGCTAGGGACTACAATTTCTTCTCACCCGCGGAAATGTGTTATATGTAATATTTATAATCTTATTGCTTTAAGACAGACAATATTATACATTACATTCTAAACTAGCTGGAATAAAAGTTTAGTTATAGACTATGTGAAGTATTTTCATAACAAAGTACTATGAACAAATAAGTACCGATTCAAAATTACATAGAATAATTTTTTAATCATCTTCTTCTTCTTTGCTGCTCGATCAAACGTGAGTTAGTGTCTAAAGCTCTTTGTTATTCTCATTAGTTTTAGGGAATGTGCCACTGGGACCTTCGTGTCTATTGTGCCCCCTTCTGAGTTTAGAGTAGGTCTCTAAGCACTGTTGCGTCAATAAAAAGTAGTATTAAACCTACTTTACAGAGTTTTTTTGCAACTTCCGTAAGAATATACATTCCCATGAGCTTATTTCGTATGTATATTAGCGCAGGGCAAAATATTGTCAGTAGTGTCTAAGTCTATTTGAATGATCCTCTGTAATAAGAACTCCGTTGAATTCTGATAAAAAGTTATTCAGATGATTTTATAAATGTATACCTTGAAGCCCAGCATATCTTCCTGATGGAAATCTATGAAATTATTTTAATATGAAATAGTTTTATTATTAAAAATGTATATAACTTATATATATATACTGTTTATATTATTGATATTAGTTTCCGTCTCTTATTCTACCAAACCTTGAAAATGTTCTCCAATTTATAGTTAAATCTCGATGCTTTCGAAATGTGAAAAAGAACATCAATAAAATTATGACCAAGTCATTTCATCAAAAAGGATCCAGTGCGGTGGGGTGTTCCATAAAGCCCACAGTTATAGCCAAAATCAACGAATATATTTAGGCTTGATTTCACAGTTTTAATTTGTCATAATATCAAATTAAACTCGAATTTCTCAAGAACAAACTATTCAATAGTTTCATCTATTTTATCTGTTTTTGAATGCAAAAAAAAAAAAAATATGTGTTGTAGGCAATATTAATATCTTTATATTATTGATTATTTGATATTAAGTAACATAAGTAAGAAACGAAATCAATCTTAAATCAAACTTTAGCTGCAATCGTTACTTACCTTAACCCATACTTAATACTTAGAACTTAGATATAACTTATATCAATATTAAGACTTTAAAATCAATTTGAATAAAACTTTTTGTGTTGTCTACTATTAAAGTAGACCAATGACTAATTCTAATGTAACTAATACTGGTCTAGTACCTATACATGCCAATACATAAAATTAGCAATTACATTTTCGCCAGAACTATATTACATTCGACTAGTCCATAGAATAGTTTCTATATTCTCTATGTTATTCCATTTTTATTTAACGGTAACTATAATAATAGTTAATGTTTTTTGTTTGTGCATTGCATATTACTAGTATTAATTGTCGAATATCAAATGAGCGCCTGCAAAACCAAGATATTACACAGTGAGGCAAGTTTTGGCATGAAATCCACAAGGTAGCAAAAGACTTGGTCCGCTAGCGAAAATGTGAAGAAGAACGATCAAAAGTGAGTTAGTTGAAACACGATAGACATGGAACGATATATATAGAGACGCCCCAAATAGAGTCAGATTTAGAAGAATTATTGAGGCCCCATGCCCCATTGGGGGAAGTGGACAATAGCAGTATGAGATTCGTTGAATACTGCTTGCATGTGTGAGTGAAATTTACTTAGCATTTATATAAATTTTATTAAGAAGGATAATTGATATAGATTTTTTACTATTTTTTTATGTATCAATATTATTAATTGCGTGATCTTTTTTGGCAGTACTATTTCAGCAACATTTTTTAAACAGAATTGTCATCCACGTTATATACGCATATATTTATATATGCGCAGAAATTATGGCTTGATTATTGCTTTGCAAGTTCATCTGCCTTTTCGTTTTGCTCAATACCGATATGTCCTTTAACCCACATGACTGTTACCTCATTTTCATGAACACATTCCATGAGCTTCGTGACACATTCTTGTACTACTCTGTTGATTATGCACGTCTTTTGCATGCTTTTGATAACTACTTGATTGTCCAGCGGTATCAGAATCTTTTTCTGATACACCTGACAATCCAGTAGGTGATCCAGAGCATGTGAGACCGCCATAAGTCCCACCTCCTAGACGGAAACATATTTTCCTAGATGTAGAGTGCACCTGAAAATCCAATAGGTGATCCAGAGCATGTGAGACCACCTAGATGTAGAGTGCACGTTAGGTTCAGCTTTTTCGAGTAAACTTTAGCTCCAGCTCTATCATCAAAGAGCCATTGGTCAGCTCCAGCTCTACCATCAAATAGCCATCGGTAAGGACGCAGATATCATATATGTTTAGTAAAAGGTTTACCATTTTATAATACAGAATATGTTAAAATTGGAAAAACTTACTAAAAAAAAGATAATTCTAAAGTATCTAGATACATATCTATTCGAATTTTCTTTCCTCATCGAGGAGATTCCTTTTTCGCTTGGTGGACAAAATAACAAACAAACTTGTTAGAGTGACAGAGAAAATCTATAAGTCGTTGTAGATGAACAATTATATTTATGAGAAGCTTTTGTATTGTCACTATATAGCAATTGGTCTAGAAGTGTATCAGATCTTTACTTTTAAAAAAATTATAAAAGTATTTCACAAATCGTCACAAATCAATTGTAATTTAAACAACCACATAATTATCAATTGGTTTTTGGGATGAAATTCTAGAAAGATGGAAAAAACAGGTTGTTTCAAGTTCACAGTGCGTCCAACTATACAGCGCGTTTTGTTTTAGCTTAGTTGTCCGATCAATTTCCTAGACGTGTAATCTTACTTTTTTGTGATATAAAATCGTTACTAAGATCAATAGATTTCTCATCACTGGACTTTTTATGCAGACAATTCTCAAACTCTCGGAAACTTTAGAAACTTATTAAAGAACATCTGCCAAATTATGGCTAATGAGCTATGAGCCTACAAATCATTCAAAATCACCTTAAAAGGATCCCGTGCTGTATGATATTTCATGAAAATAATTTTTTTATATTATTTAATGAAAATACAAAAATGAAAATAAACTATTTTGTTCTCTTAAAACTCCCAAATAACACTTAAAATGTTCCTAAAACTGAATTGCTTTCCAATGATACTCAATTTCCTTTTCAACCTCCCAAATGACATTTAAAATGCTCCTAAAACTTCTCTTTAAGCTCTTAAATAATACGGAAATCCCTTTTCACGCTTCTAAATAACACTTAAATTCCATTTCAAGCTCTCAAATAACACTTAAATTCCTCTTCAAGTTTTCCAATGATACTCAAATCCCTTTTCAAGCTCCCAAGTAACACTTAAATTCCTATAAAAGATTCCAAATAACACTCAATTTTTAATTCAAACTCCAAAATTATTTTAAAATTCGTCTCTAAACTGACAAGTAACATTTAAAATACTTTCAAAATTTATTTTCAACACTCTTTAAAATCCTTAAAACTTATCTGTAAGGGAGCATTGTAGTAGTGTTCATAACATCGTAACCAATTCTTAAGGAGTAACAGTCTATATGGGTTCCTTTAGGATGCTTCTAAGGAACACTCATATAGGAATGTTTTACTCTTAACAAGAAGCGTTTTACTCCCAAATAGGAGTATTTTGCTCCTAAAGAGGAGTGTTTTGCTCCTAAATAGAAGTGTTTTGCTCCTAAATAGGAGTATTTTGCTCCTAAATAGGAGTATTTTACGTTGTTTTTAGTTTTTAAGTTTAGATTTAAGAAATTGATTTTTTTAAATAAATAAATAAAATTAAAAGTTCTATTTTATAAACACACATCATGTTAGTGCACTAGCAACTATTTTTGAAATCTTCAATTGCTATTTATGGTTATGTAGGGCATAACCATAAGGCGAGATGGTCTTTAGAAAATTTCGAAAGCCGTCAAACTTTGACGAACAGTTACTTCTGCAGCCACAGAAGTTTGTGCTGTACTTCCCATATTGATTTCCTGCCGACTTTAATGTTGTTAGTGTTGTTTTTGTGTAGCTGCCCAGTAATTGCAAATATTGATCGTTTTGTGGTTTTTAAAAATTTGCACTTTCGGTTTCTTTTGCAGATCAAATTATTTAAATGTTCAAATGTAAATGTCCGAATATATGTAAACGTTTTCATTAAGGAAGAATTTCTTCTGCATTTCGCACATTTAAAATGTCCAACATTTGCTTGCACTGTTTGACAAGGTCAAAAAAGCATACTCCATAAGGAGGTCGCAGCGATGTTCTGCACTAAATAATA